CTGCCGCAGCTTCGAGTTCATCTTTATATAACCATTCGCGCTCGCGTCCGCGCTGCCGGTGAGCTTTTCTCTCCTCCCGTTCAAACGTGTTGGCTCAGAAGTGGCCACGAGGTCTATTCTAGTTTGGTGTGGAGTTGGCAGTGACAGTTCAAGTGTATCTAATATTATCGTTTCCCTCGACTAGAGCAGATCAAGTGCCGCATGGATAAACTGCAGGAATGCCAGAATTCATAGCGAGCGACGTCGTGGACAGCATAAAGACTAAAAATGAAAGAGCAAAGGGAAGATGCTGGAACAGTGTTTCCAGCCTGCAGACAACTCCTGAGAAGATTCAAGAATCATCTGTTCATTGTGAGAAAGGTTTCAGATAACTCCGAGCAGTCATTGTCAAAGACCCTATAGAAATTGTAAAAAATTCTTGAAGAGGCACTCCGGAGTTCGCTTAGATAGAAAATGCAGTGGAATATGACCACAACAAAGGTTTAAGCGTTGGCCCATTCTTGAAAGAGATGCATTGAAGTAGTGTTTTGATGCATTTTTGCAGTATGATACACAGCAGTGATCAGAATCTGCGGACTGGATGCCTTTCTCTTTGCTATGTTGGTCCTTTTTCAATTTCTGAAATTTGCAGAGTCAAACAGAGTTTCGCCTCGCTGGACCAGGCTCGAATGCAGCCAGGTTGCGAGTTTGCGAGGATTGTGGTGCTCAGTTGAACATCATGGACCACGAGTCTCGCATCGCAGACCATTTCGGTGGCAAAATGCATCTCGGAATGGTAGAGTGTCGTGAGAAATATGCGGAAATGAAGGTGAGCCACTTCCATGATATCGTCTTATAACCGTGTCTGACCTGTTAGTAGTCGGGCAGTATCTAGAACGAGCTTCGTAAGGGGGTTTGTGCCCATGTTTGGGTTTTGTTCACTAAGGACTCTGAAGGGCTTTCACAGCTCAAAGAAAGTGAAAGATCACTCCTCATATCCAGTCCTTACTCTGAAAGTTTCCATTGTCAATCTCTCTAAAAAATGCCTACCTCTAATTTCTCTTTCATCATTTCTCTTCTTTTTTGAATTGTTATATGCATCTCAAATACACCGTGCCATTTACGAATGTAATCTTAAGATCATCATTCTCTTGAGTTGCCGGATCCACGGTTGAACTCGGTGTCCATCATTTCTGGCATTGCCAAAAATTCTGTGCTTTTTTCCCTGTAGGTGAAGTGCCCTTTCAATGTGTCTCGAGGGAAATCTATCTGGCCAATACTTGATTTTCTGGTGTTTCGCACTTTCTGGCTTCCAGCAATTTATTAGGTTAATTGCTATAATCGTACACATGTAAGTTAACTCCAGAATGTGCTTTGGACCTCCTTCTAAGTTCTGCATGTTTTTATCATTAATGTGAATAAGACAACAAGAACTATCTCTCGCTAGGAGTCCTTCTCCTCTCCAAGGCTTGGTCCTAGGGCATTCACCCGTTCTCTAATCGTCTGTGCTCTGGTATCGCGGCAGGACCACTGAGGAAAAATCAAGTAGTCCGTAAACCCGGAAGATTATGAAAGGACACAGCCAATTAGGAGATATCTCATTATAAAGAAGTTCGTATTTGGGTCTCATTGCTTCACTGTCTGGCGCCTGTCCACAACTGGATCTACTTCAAGAAACACGAGCTATGGTAAGATGTGCTTCGTGGAGAAGAATTTAGCGTCTAGGTGCTCCTTGGAGAGAATTTAGCGTCTAGCCTCCATGTCTGCGTTCAGTCGGTCATTAAACCAATAGTCAGACCCGTCAATTTCGCTTAAAAAACGTTGCTATAATGGTGTCATGAATACCCTGATCGAGAAGGGCTTGTTTTTTCAACGAAATGTCCGACGCCAACTTTGTTTCTGGTGCTAACTTAGTTGGGGGGCCACGCGGCGGCGCGGCAGTCTGCTCGCCTGGCATGTTCGGAAATCCGTGGGCCAGGGGGAGTGTAGCCAGTCTAGGGGGGTGGGGGGTGGGGCAGTCACTTGACATGCGTGAAAAGCTGGAATGTTCGAGTTTACACTGTCTCGCTCGAGAGAGCCCAGGTGAGCAGACTGCCGCGCCGCCGCGTGCCCCCCCCCCAACTAAGTTAGCACCTTTTTTTTACACAAATTTCACGGTGAAGCTGTGCTCAATTATGTGTGG